GCAGACATCTGCTCAGATATAAGACAGCCAGAAAAACACTTTACTAGCTCTCTGGGCTCCTTTATCCAGCTGGGCTGATACAAAACATGGAGCATCTCACTCGTGAGGGGCATCATTAACCCTCCTTGTCACTACCTGCCCTGGGGAAGTAGCCTCCATGTTGTGAGGTCCCTCGGGCAGCCTGGAATGGTGCACGGAGGAGAAATTGAGAAATTGAGGCTTCTGGTCAAGACCCACAACCCATGGCCAGCCACACAATGGAGCTGTACTGAGCCAGACCCCCTGACAGTCAGGTCTTTCGTGACTGCAGCCTTGACCAACAGTTTGATTATAACCTTGCTAGAAACTCAGAGTCAAAACCGTTGGAGAAGCCACTCTCATGTTTGCAGCCTACTGCAGTGGCTATTTTTTGATGCGTAACAAATCATCCCGAAATGTAGTGGCTTAAAGAAATAAGACATCTTTTCCCAGTTTCTGTGAGTGGGCTACCTGGGTGTTATGGATCAAGGTCTTTCCTGAGGTCACAGTTAATTAAGATCCTGGAGGGGGCTGCACCCAACTGCAGGCAGTCTGTGGTTGGGGTGGGGATATCTGCTTCCTGAGGGTTCTAAGGGGACCTAGCTCCTCGATGTTAGCAAGAAAGCCCATGCACCCCATCCTTCAAACCCTGCATGTACTCATAGCAAGATAGCTGGTTTTCTGCAGTGCAGGTGACCCAAGAGAAGGGGCAAAGTGGAAATCGCCATCTTTTTTATGACCTAAACTTGGGAATCGAGCATTGTCTTTTCCACATTATCCTACTGGTTATACAGGTCGGTTGTGTCCAGTCAAAGTGTGGATTGTTAAGCATGTAAAAGCCATGAGGTGGAGATCTCTGTGGGCCTTCTTGAAAGATGGCTACCAAAATGAGAAGATAAATAGTTGTTCTTGATTTATGTCACCAAGTTTAAGGTAATTTATTATGCAATGATGGATAACTGATATTTGAACAGATCAGTATGGAGTATTCTGTCTGCTTCTAGTGACTTTACGTGAGGGCTGTCTGCCTCACGTCTCTGTGATGTACCAGAAGATGTCATGTCCCAAAGGCCACCACAGGTCCCTGTTTCCTTAAAAATCTCTAATTGGAGTGGTGTCCTGGGATTATCTTGATGTCCTAGCAGCTGGCACTTGCTAGTTTCCTATAACTATTTTCTAATACTTTATGTCAGGTTTCATGGTTTTACTTAAGTTCCAATTTTGGCTAATAAAATCTTTGTGTTCCCCTGAGGGTACAGATGCCATGTGTAAGAACCAGTCTTTTATACTGAGCCTCTGTAAACACTAAAGATTCTGGGTTTGTTTCCTGTACAGACCTTTTTAGAACATTGTCAGTTAAATTAGTCTCCCCAGATGGAAGCACAGAAAAAGAAATGATCAGGATGTATAGCACGTTGTTTCTAACAAGGTGGAAAATTCATCTGAAATGACAGAAATCCTGAGTAATGACGAATTCTGAGGATTCGTGTGACACAGCTAACAGGCTGATTGCTATGTGCAACTGAGCTATAGCTTAATATCAATACTTACACTCCCTTTTGAATCGAAAAGGAGGCAATTAAAAGTTACTAAATCCCTGGTTTTGAAGTGCTTCTGGTCCCTTTGGGTTTGTCAAAGCTGGTTTGCATCTCTTATTTTGAGAAGTCCTGTCTTGCACATTTGAAAGTTCAGGGACTATTTTGAAATCTGGCTTCATTCCAGAAATAAGTTTTACTTTATTACTTTCCACTCCCTCTTGACAAAAATGACAAAGACTTCCTGAAGGCTAATCTCTTTTGTGGGTCATATGATTCTTTTCATTTTGCATCTGGAGAGGGTTTTCAGATAACAATAGGTTTGGCTATTGGTGAACTGGAGAAAATCCTGTTGCTGTAGAGTTAACAATGAGTGGAATCTCGGTGAAGTATGGTGATTTGTCTGATACAATAGGGGCGGGTGCAGACTGGACTTGCAAGTGTCAGACAGGCTGTGTGGGAAAATGTAATGGACTGCAACTGAGTCAACAAACAGTTCAGAGTGCAGAACTGCTGATGAGCCGGGAGCAAGCAAGCTGGCAACTAAGATGAAGAAGCAGGATTAAATGTATCGCTGCAAAGAAATGGTTAAATTTTTTTTTCTGATTTTTTTTCTTTATTGAGTTTGTTGGTACAATCTAGGTATACAATACAGTTACATTCATCATTGGGATTCTGTACCTTTACATAATAGGTCTTGATTCTCATTTTTTCCCTTGTCCCTGCCCTCCCTTCACCCCCTCCTCCCCTCCCCATTTACAAACACTTTATTTCCATTTTTTCAGTTTCTCATATTTTTTTCCTCTCCCTTATTACCTTTCCCCCACCCTTCCCACTTGCCCTACACCTTTAGCCCTTTACTTCCTATTTAACATTAGTAATTATCTCATTAGGATCCTGTGTACTATTATAGTTTTTTGCACCAAAGAAGCTATTCGGTATTTCAGTCAAAGAAATCTCTGTATGAACATTAAAAATAGGGAATCCTAAAATAAAACTAAAAAGGAAAGTAAAAGAGAAAAGGCAGTGATGTAACATTAAAATAACCCTTAATTCTGGAGATGAAAATGGTCCCTGAACATATTTAAATTGCTTCTTGCTCTTATAGTCTTATCTTATTCTTTTTTTCATTATGTAGAGAATACTTTATTAGTTTCTGTAATCAAATCCACGTAGATATGACCTTACATATTTAGTACGATGTGTTACCCCTATACACATAGAAATGGTTAAATATTTTAAATACAACCAGCAGGGATCTGGAAACTGAGAGGAGTCGGTGTAATGAAACATTAAAAAAACACAAAACAATACACAATTAATAATAACTGTCTCCAACGCAGGTTTGATACGAGGCAGAAAAACCCCGAAGAACCAGTGATCAGAGAAGAGGCTGGAGTCCTCACACTCTTTATTTACATGCACCTCAAAGTTAAAAACAAATGGTGATTAGATTACCAGAAGACTGTGGATTTTTTAAGCTTTTGGCTCTGTTGGGTAAACAGCTTCTGAGTGGAGGAGAATTCACTTGAGCCTGGTGCCCCTGCATTCGCTGGGTAGGCGAGGCTCTCAGATGTGACTCGAAGTCACTGCCTTCCCACAGCAATGCCTTTGGGCCCAGAGTGCCCAGGAGATTGTGGGTCCAAAGTCAGACCTGTGCTGGGGGTCAGGTAGCTGAGCTCCAGGGTCAGTTTAATGCTCCAGCCCCAGTGTCTTTATTGACAAAGGCAGGTTTCAGTTCTTTACATGCTGGTTCCACACAGTTGTTGTCAGGTGTCAGACATAATCACACATGCACAATTAGAATCCACAAAGAGCAGCATCTACACTGGAGTTGAACCAAATGAAAATAAGCATAATACGATGTAATACAGTTAGCAACAGTGTCCTCCTCATTCAAATGATGCCAGCGATGTCCTTAGGCTAAATGATGTCACTTGCCACGGGACCAGGAGGTAGAGAGGAGCAGATCCTGCATCTTCTTAGATTTGGGGACTCCAGATTGCAGGCTGCTGACCACCATTCTAAATCATGAAGTGAGGGATGAAGGGTCTGACAGTATAAGGGAAAATCCAAACTCTGTTTCTCATTCAGTAATTGACACAGAAGATTCCTGGGACCTCTGGCCATCAAGAAGAGATTTCTCCTCTGCCCACTAGCAGCCAGTGATTCAGCTCTGTGGTGCACATCAGCTGGATATCTTTTAATTCACTTTAATTCTAATGCTGTCTATACTGGAAATCGAGTCACACCTGCAGGTTGAGGGCTCAGTCCTGCAAGAGAGCCCTGCCCTGATCAGTCACTAGTCACAGGGAGTCTATTGCCAACTATATCTGTGGTTGAAGGTGCTAAGACCACATACTTGGCTTGGATTAATTTGCTAGACAGCTCACCCAACTAAGAAGCACTCATGTCTATCAGTTCAGTATAAAGAATGTTACCAAGATACCAAGAAAAATATGCTTTGGATAAGGTATGATGGGAAGATATTGGAGCATCCGTGTCTTCCCCTGGCACAACAGGGCCCTCCATGGTCAGCTCTCCAAAGCCCTCTCTATCTGGTATTCTGGGTTTTTCCTAGGCATGAACCATGAACTATTGAATCACTGAGCATTGGTGACCAACTTCATGTGAAAGCCCTCTTCCGTTCCCAGTGTTCAGGCAATGGATTTGAAAAGTCCCAATCCTCTAATCCCTCTTTGGTGTTTCCTAGGACCAGTCACCATCCTGAAGCTCCTGGAGGCTCCAGTGACAGCCACTGGTCACCCATTTGCATATAAAAAGACACTTACAGACTTGGATATTTGAAGGATTTTAGAAACCCTTCTGTGGACCAGAAAGTTGGGATAAAGACCAGAGATATATTTCACAGTAGCACAGGAGCATAGAAGATGGACTTGCTAAGCATGAGGTATAAGGATTTCTTTGGTATGGGAGCGTTAAACTGTGTCTATGGTGTGATTTTCCTTAGGATGAATTTCTACAAAATACTTGGTGATGACCATGACAAAAGGTCACCTCCTGAACATGCTGGGTTCCCTGAGCATTTAATATTGGTAATGAGTAGACTTCGGGTGTCTTCGAATTTTGGCCTGGAAGAAAAATCAATTAAAGTCATGGTGGAAATGAAGCTTACATTTTAGGTGCAGCCATTTCAATAGTTCATAATTTGTTTCACAGGCAGTGACTCAACACTGGATGCCACTGGTCATGAAAGGAATGAAGAGAAAGAGCCACTCTGCTGGGGCTCCTCACCCTGGGGACTGCTGGCTTCTCAGGCCCCAGAGTCCTCGTACATCACAGGACTTTTGTCCACGTGCCTGGCTAGTAACAAACACCCTTCTCACTTGCGTTTTGAAAGCCAAAAAATGTTTTCAGATATTGCTCAATGTCCCTTGAGCTGCAAAATCGAGAATCGTTTCTCTCAAACTGTCTCCACAGACACGGATTTCTGGTAACACATGGGATATATGCATATCAGCTGGCAGAACCCGTTTCTTATGTGCAAAATCTTCATTAGCCAAAAGGTCAGTAGCAAATTAAATGATTTATAAAGCAATTTTCAAATTTGTGCATGCTTCAAATAGTGACATATTTTTCAAATTGATATGAGTGTTACCTTTTTATTAGTAACTATTTTACATTCTAATCAATGAGCACAGCCATTCACTTATTCTGCAATTTTATGTTAGGTCTACTTGTTTCATTCCAAATAAGATTCTGAAGATAGCACAGCAAAAAATAAAGGAACATTACATGAAATCACACATATTAAAGTGTAACATTTGAAGTTTTTTCTCTAAATTTTGTGCACCTGAGTGGCTTTCCTCCATCACACCAGCAGGATGCCTGTAAGAAGGAAGGATAAGTGGATCGTCGTTCTTCAAACACGTGCAACAGCAAGAACCCAAGTAATCAAGGTACGTATGTCTGCACGTGTGTGCATGGGCTGAGAACTGCCCCCAAAGCTTATGTCAATTTGGAAGCACAAACTGTAACCTTACATGAAAACAGGGTCATGGTGGCTGTGACTGTTTTAGATCAACAGGAAGGATCCCTCTGAATTTCAGTTGGGATCTAAACCCAACTGCAAGTGTGCCTATAAGAACAGAGGACACAGAGAGACACAGGAAGAAGGCAATGTGAAGAGAGAGGCAAAGATTGAAGTGACTCATCCACAGGGCAAGGAGTGCCAAGAATTACCTGCAACCCCCAGTAGGCAGGAGAGAGATATGGAAAAATTATCTCTTAGAGCAGTGGCCCCCAGCCTTTTTGGCACCAGGAGCTGGTTTCGTGGAAGACAAATTGTCCATGGACTGGTGGTAGAGGGGTGGATTTGCCAGTTCAAGTGCATTGCATTATTGTACACTTTGTTTCAATATTATTGATGAGATTCTCATAAGAAGGACCCAACTAGATCTCTTGAATGCACACATGCAGTTCACAGCAAGGTTTGTGCTCCTACTGGAGTCGAATGCCTCTATTATCTGATAGGCGGTGGAGCTCAGGTGGAAACTCAGGTGGTGGTGGGTAGCTGCGAACACAGTTGAAGCTTCTCACCCACCTGCCACTCACCTCCTGCTGTGTGCCCTAACAGGCCACAGACTGCCCTGGTCTATGGCCCAGAGGTTGGGGACCCTTCTCTTACACCCTCCAGAAGGAACCAACCCTTCCTGATTTCTGACCGCTGGTCTCCAGAATAGGGAAGGGATGGATGTCTCTTACTTCAAGCCATCTAGTTTCTAACTTGTTATCACAGCCTTAGGAAACTAGTACAGTACGTATGTATGTATCAGTAGGAGTCACACTCCCAAGAATTCCCAAGAAATTCATCGATTCCTTATATCCTTGATCAGCCTGGTATAATTTCATTTTGACTAATCCATCTGTGTCCAAACTGTATTGAAGTTTTCTGCAGAGATGGGATAGAATACTTTTCAAGCATTAAGGAGGCAGGAGATTGGGGCACAGCAAGGCGGCTGGACAGTGAGCAGGCCTGTCAATCACAGAGATTCAGGACACATGCCCAGAACGGCTTTGGAGCCTTGCACTAATACCAGTGTTGTCTCCAGTTCTGGCAGGAGGTCACGAGGGGTTTTGATGGACAGCCTAGATCTGACATCAGCACAGGGATATAGAAGACAACAGCCATTAAACTCACGGGCACGGTGAGTCTTTTCACCGGTTCTCTCTGCTCTTTGCTGGTGCACTTCTCTTCCCTTAAACTGGTTCAGCCTCCCCTGCAAAATGTCTCTTTTCAGCGTAGTTCTTCTCTCTACTTTTCTTCACATGATAACTCTAATACTTTCATTAAATGTAAAACCTCTACATTTTTTGATTGTTTTATCCAATTCTTTGAACAGGACAGCAGCCCAGAAGGGACCCCTGGGCACCTCACCACCCTGTTAACATTAAGATATGGGGAAAAACATCATCTGAGCTCATAGAGTGCCTTGATTATTTCTGGAGAGCAGGGCAATAGCTGTTCAGCATATTTGCAATGAAAACCCAATGGGGAAAGCAATATTGGGAAGATATTATCTCTGGGCGTGGATTCAGCCGCCAGAGGCGGTAGACCAGTTCTCCCCAAGCCTGAGCCATGCATTTCCATCCACAAATGCAGGAAGAGTTGAGCGAAAGTCACTGCGCTGGGATGAAACACCGGGAAGCGGGCGGCTCCACCTCAAAAGAAGAACAACGAGCATTGAGGGCCACCTTGCAGGAAACTGAAGACTGACTAAGCCCAAGTAGCTGGTACCTAAGACAGAAGGTCCAGCAGTAGAGAGGAAAGGACCCCAAGAGCTCAGAGGTGAGGAAGAAGCAGCAGCATTTCCTGGGCTTCGGGAACTCACGGGGGCCGGGATCATGGAGAGCAGGACTGAGATGTCTTTCTGCGTCTTCCTCACCTCGGGCAGGCGTTCTGAGATCCTAAGGTCAGCCGTCCCTTGTCCACGGGAGTGCATCCTTTATGGGCACTCAGAGCCGGACGGTGGAAGTGACTGGGATCCCTGTTCCTGGAGGTCTCCTACCGTGAACATGAGGAAGCTAGATCAGGAAATTCAGGGGCAGACTGCGGAAAGCTGTCTGAGAATGTGATGTGAGGCATTCTGCAAAGGCACACCCACGGTGCCTAGGAAGAAGTGCAGACCCCAGGCCAGCCATCTGCCTCGTGAGGGGCTCGGGGTCAGGAGGATGGAGAGGGATGTCAGGCATTTCTAATTTTACAAACTAGCACTCTCCTCAAGTGTGTGATATTTAGAAAATGGAACTAAATGTTTATATTCAAAGTAGTGAAGACAAGTAAAACATAATAAAATGTATCAGGTATAGTGTATTGTCTAATTCTAGCATCCAGAAATTGAAAAAAAAAATCTTAAAACGATGAATTAGGCCTTTTCTTGCCGTTGTCCTTATTGATGATGAACAGCTCACCCATACATCAGAATCTATTAACTATTTTTGGCATTATATATTTATTTTTAAAGCTTCAGTGGTTCTTTAGAAAGCCGAGGCAACATTTAAAATGTTAAAGCTCTAGTGCAAAAATCAGAATATACCGAGTGAAAGGAGATTAAATTCTATTCTCTCTTTTGTCAATAAAATGCATTCCAAACTCTGTGCTACCTTGTAAACAGTAATATCAAGCAATGCCAATGTTACAGTGATGAAAAAAAATTCAAGTAAGATGCTCTGTGTATCTTTGAAAAGGGATTAAAAAACACACTGCTTATTTTTAGTGCGACATGCATTGTTGACGAGCAAACTTCAGACAGAAGTCCTTCGAGGGAGCAGCATTGCCATTGGACGTTACAAAGGCAAAAATCTAAACCATTTTTTTCTCATTCTTCTATTTAAAAATTATGTTATCTTAACTAGCATATTTATTTTTTATTTCTTTGGCACACAAAGAACTCTGAGTTTCTTTCCTTTTTGTTCTGTTGTTAGTTGACAAGACCTCCAGGTAAAAGAAATGTTTTTAATAAAATATACCCCCTTGCACAGTGTGGAGTCGAAGGTAGCTGAGCAAGAATAAAGATGTTATTGTTGGCTCCTCGGAGACATATACAATGCTCACTTTAATCTATTTGATTGTCCCTGAATTGCTGATTGCTGCTCTCTTCTCTCCAGGCACCAAAGAGAAGCTTAATATCTTTATATATGTACATATCCAGAATATACAGCCTGTATTAGGCATGCTCATTTGCTTTCTTTTTCACCTCTCTCTGCTTCTGCCTTTCTTCTCCCTGTGAGCTGAAAAATGGATGCAATATGCTGGAACCATTCCTAAAGTTCTCCTAGCCGGCGTCTCGAGTTTTATAATTTCCGCGATATATCATACATGCTGGCGGACATGAGGGGACACTGTTAGTAGGTACACTGAGGGTGCCAGGATGCTGAATGTTATGGGCCACAACCTGTGCGTCTGTGTGTCCATTTCTCCTTGGACACTGAGGAACTACTCCAGTGGCAGAGTAGAGGTTTGTGTCCTGTTGCGTGATGCCTTGCTTCCTCTGGGACCTGAAATGTCACTGCTCACTGTTTAAACTGCTTTGCACACCAGGTGAGTGTGTCTAGAGAGAGGCTACATCCTTTCTGCGCCTCTGATCCTGGAGTCACAGTCCACAAAAACCAGGCATCCAAAGAAACAATCAATTTTGGGATAATACATTTGATCCTCTTGAAAAATGTTCTGGTTAAAGCCCTGTCTTGCTTTGAGCAATATCTGAACTGGTGGTGAGATCCTAATTCTGTGGTGTTTCTCACACACCCAGATTCATGGCAACTCAAGAGCCCCACTTCCATGCCATCCCCACAGGCAGATTTATTTTCTTCCACCTTCCAGTGGGAGGACAATTCCCTCCACTGCTTAATTAAACCTTGACAACTTCCCCCAGCTGCACAGATCAATGACTGTCCTGTTGTCACTTTATTCTATGGAAATACATTTCATCAGAGAGACTGAATTATGTCTCATCACTTACAGTGGTGTTCACACGTAAGCTCAAGCCAAAGAGGAGGGAGTAACGGAATACACATTTATCAACTGCTAAGTCACTGCCCAAATCTGCCTTTCCAGCTCTGATGCCTTACTATATTTCATGTCTCTAGGACTCAAGACAGTTGTGGATGTCTTCACTCACTGTTTTGTATTGAATGTTCTTTGGCCAAAAAATGATGAACTGATAATCATTACAAAACCTTCAAAGCCCTACGTTCACCTACAATTCCAAGTCATTTGTGGTGGTTAGAAGTCACATGCAAGGGGTGATCAAGATATACGGTGAGTGCTTACCTGTTATAAACATTATTATAGTAAATGCCACATTGCCATTGATCCAACTCAAAATCCTTCTCCTCACTTTGAGCACGCTCACCCCATCATTCTTGCCACTTCCTGCAGCAGCTCTGGAGTCCTCTTTCCTGAGAGTCTTTAGTTGTGATGTCCTGGCTGCCTTGATGTCCCAAATTGTCTCAAAATGTTGACTTTTCATAGTCACTTTGACTTTTGGGAAAAGCCAGAGGTCTCACCGTGTCATATCTAGTAAATAAGGTGGATGTGGACACACTGTCATGTTTTAACAAGCTGCCTTTCTGTTGGATGAGACTTCGCAGGAGCATTCACTGTATTATTATACCTCATAAAGATACTGAGGAAGGAGGACTTCCAGAACTTTTTAGAAAGTGGCAACAACCATGGGATAAATGTGTTCAAAGTGAGGGACATATCTGAAGGGGATTCATGGCAGGGGTCTTTTACTATAGTCGTGTTATTGAAGCGTTCACCATAGTTTTCTATCAAACCTTGTGGTTTCATTCATTCATTCACTCTGTCATCGACAGAGATCTTGTTGGGCACAGAGAGCAAGGCAGATGTGCAAAATATATGGCTTCTAGTTTCAAAGAGCTCAAACTGAGAAAGGAAGCAGGATAGAAACAAGGAAAGGTATCCCCTTGGTTGCTAGCTAATTTGATAGCAGGGCCCTTGGTGCCACCGGACTCCAGGGGACAGTGAAGTCGCCCATCTTTGAGGATTCTCCCATCTTTCTTTCCAGGTCTCTTATCTGAAGACAGAATGCACCTGTTAGCAGAAGCCCTAGGTAAATACACACTAACATTTATTTCTGATTTCAAATGTGTGGGGACCCCTGTCTGGGAGACTTAGGTGTGACAATTAGGGTAACAAACAAAAAGGCGAAATAAACAACTTTCACACATGCCAGTGCCCAGTAGGAAAACCTAGGCTTTAATGCATCCCTGAATATGCTCAGACCTGTAATAAACATAATACTACTAATAAAAGATTTAAAAGAAATTGTGTACTTATTTCATCATTAACGTGTCCATACTTGGACATATTTATGATGGTTCAGGAAGAAAGATATTTCTTGAAAAATATTTTGCTTTTCTCTCATAATTTACATGATATAGGCAGCATAGTCTTCAGTCTAAAAGATACAATGCACCCTCCACTATTTCACTTACTGTGGCTCACAACTGAAACAAGGTTCCATTCTCGCTGGACTTTTGCAATCCCATTTCCTATTTGCTTTTACATTTAGTTTCACAGATGAGGTTTAACCATAGTGTGAGGCTCTATCCCTGTCCTCAGCTTTCTCAGCTTCTAGTCAGTAAAGCAGAGGGCACACAAAACAAGGCAAAGAGTGGGCTACGCTTTCGGAGACAGCTTCCATTGAGAAGCTCTGCGTCTACCTGAGGTGCGCAGCCGGAAGTCAGAGGATTGGACTTCCTGCTTGCGTTCTCCACTTCTGGTCTGTGTGGGCTGCGATGCTTCCGGCCCCTCTGGCTCTCAGTTTATTCTTCATCCCTAAGGAAGGCTGACCACACCCCATTTATAGACTTCTCAGGAGCATCAAGTTAGATATCACACACAGAATGCAGGAACACGGTTGACTAATGAATTCCTTAAAGAGAAGACACTCCAACCGCACCAGAGGACCAGCGCAGAGAAGGAGCCAGCACCGCACCCCAAGTTTGGTCCAGGACAGTCTGGAAAACTAGACCAAGTCTTAGGAGACACAGATAGCACATTGCTCTGTGGGGAATTGCTTCTGATCTGGCCACTTTTTAAACTTCATTTCGTTTAATTACAAAAATTAAAAAGCTATCTTCTGGTACATGCTAGTACATGTTGTTCACATTCTGTTGGGAGTTGGTACAATTCTCCCTTTTTTCATCCCCTTTCCCCTTTCCTTCCATCCCTTGATCCCCATCTCCTTTGAGAAAGATCTGTCTTCCTCCTTCCTAACATTTCTCTTATTTTACTCTTTATTTATGCTGTAGGTTTCTCATATTGGAGAAACCAGGGGATATTTAAGCTTATATATGTGATTTTTTTCACTTAACATTTTGGTTTCAAGATTTGAGAAAAATTTAAAAAATTAAAAAAAATTATTTATTTATAACAAAAAGAGGAGAAGAAAAGGGGATTAGGAAGATAAAGACAATGGTGTGCCATAAGATCAATCACACAAAAGCATAAAGGTAAAAAAAAACCACAATATTGAAAGCGGAAAAGAAAATGTATCAATTCTATGAATTTTTTGAGTACTGCTTTTGATTTGTTTTCAACAGCTAAGGCAAAAACCAGAAAGTAAATGAGTTGCACAATTGGCTGTAAAAGAACTGTGATTGTAGGACTTGAGAGGTACACACCCACACCAGGGACTCATGGC